TATTCTGCCTGATACTTTTATCACTGCAATCACTTCCCAAGTTCCTACTCTGTCTGATACTTTGATCACTGCAATTACTTCCCTAGTTCCTACTCTGTCTGATACTTTTATCACTGCAATCACTTCCCTAGTTCCTACTCTGTCTGATACTTTTATCACTGCAATCACTTCCCAAGTTCCTACTCTGTCTGATACTTTTATCACTGCAATCACTTCCCTAGTTCCTATTCTGCCTGATACTTTTATCACTGCAATCACTTCCCAAGTTCCTACTCTGTCTGATACTTTTATCACTGCAATCACTTCCCTAGTTCCTACTCTGTCTGATACTTTGATCACTGCAATTACTTCCCTAGTTCCTACTCTGTCTGATACTTTTATCACTGCAATCACTTCCCTAGTTACTACTCGTTCCTTGATACATACTATATCATGTGTTTGTATTTTTCTCAGATCATGTTCAAGAAGCATCATCAGAACATAGTGGTAGTGAAGATTACTCAGATGATGAACTTTTACAAATGCTGTACAGGAAAAGAAAAAGCTATGAAGAACAACTGAAACATCTTGATGACTTGTTGGTGCAACAGTGCGGAAACACCGACTGTGAAAACTGATCTATTCAGGAAACATATGTACCACTCACCAAATATACACTGTTAACATAAATTTATATTTGTAATAATGAAGATATGAATATGGTAATTGTAATCACTATTATAATTGAATTGTAAATTATTGACTTTTTAATATCACAACAGCCATACAGCAAAAACCATGAGTGTTTTTTGTTTGTTTGTTGGTGCTATGCATCTCAATGAATTGAATGTGTAGCATTTGTACATAAACAGTTGTTATAACAATGAATTAAAGATACTGAAATTAAAGCCATGTATGTTGTTATGTTAAAGCTATTAATTGTGATTGAAATATCTGAACAACAATTGTCAAATTGTTTTCAAAAAAATCACTGCTCTTCCCTATCTCTATTGAAGTCACAAGTATGATGCGGTGTGGCTTGTATATACATGTATATATACAATGATATGGCTTACATATACCCATTGAAATAAGTTCACAGACAACTTTGAAAACAATATGATAGAGAATCATTTAACTTTCTGTTTTGGCTGCGAATGATATTGCCTCTACATTTGACCAACTACCTAGTGTAAGTCGCTTTACATTCAGATCTTACATGATCAACAACCAACCAGAACTGTTTTTATAAGCTGCTTTTTCAACGCATGCTGTAATTGGTTGAAAAATTTTGTCTGGGAAAGCTGCCTCAATGTGACCTTTATAGGTAGTTGTAAGATGTCAATCTGGCAATTCAAGTGTTGCTAGCCTGATAAAATCTTTGACACTGGGTGCATAAATACGAATTCTTGGTCAAGCAGGGTTCTGAATTTTAATATGCACACTACTAAAAGAAAAGATTGTTGTATATGTACAAGTACTATATGTGCCAGTTATAATGTTACACAACAGTATCAGACCACTATGACAGTCATACTTTGGGTTCATAGTATCATAAACTTGACGATGGGTCACAAAACAACTCTTCTCGTAATAGTAATAATCATAATGAGTTCAAATGAACTCAGTGGGTGGGTCATTCAAGTTTGTCTCTTATTCAGAAATAAATTACCCCAAGTAAACCAAGTGACCAGTTCTAATTTTTTTACAAACAAGTAACTAGTTAAAAAAAGAAATCCTTCTAAAAGTATTTGTTTACTGTCTACAAGATGTATATTCACCTGCTTACTTCTAAATGACAGACAGCGAACACGAACAGGTATTTTTTCAGATTACTACTATTGTTTCAAAATGTTTTCTAAAAGATTAGCAGTACATAGTTTCAGTCCCCATTTTGGGTGGTTCTTAGTCCCCGTTCGAACGAAGTCCGAAAACAGGGACTTATAATTCTGTCTCCGTCTGGAGTTGTATCTCAGAATCTCTTGGACCGATTTTGTTCATTCTTTGCATGTGCCTAGTACTTTATCTGGGACATATGCACATGCAGTGGTTTAGCGATTCGATTCAAAATGGCCGACTGGCAGCCATCTTGTTTTTTGAAAATGTTGTATTTTGGACATGCTTTGTCAGTTTTCATTCACATTTGGTACATAGATTATACATGTTAGGATACATGTCCATGACGATTTATATCACAATTGGATCAAAGATGGCCGGCTGGCAGCCATCTTGTTTTTTGAAAATGTCGTATTTTGGACATGCTTTGTCAGTTTTCATTCAAATTTAGTACATCGATCATACATGTTAGGATACATTTTCCTGACCGTCCATGAGTTCCTGAGTCTGTCCGTTCGTGCGTCAGTCTGTCAATAGTAATATTTCAGAATCCTGTGGACCGATCCCGTTCATTCTTTGCATGTGCCTAGTACCTCATGTGGGACATGCACATGCAGTGGTTTAGTGATTCGATTCAAAATGGCCGACTGGCAGCCATCTTGTTTTTTTTTGACATGCTTTGTCAGTTGTCATTCAAACTTGGTACATAGATTATACATGTTATGTTACATGCCCATGACAATTTATTGCGCAATTGTATCAAAGATGGTCGACTGGCAGGCATCTTGTTTTTGTTTTTTTTAAGCGGTATCTTGGAAGTGCTCTGTCAGTTTTCACTCAAATTTGGCACATACATGTACTTTATACATGTTAGGATGCATGTCCATGACAATTTGTTTCAAAATCTGGTCAAGGATGGCCGATTGACAGCAATCTGACTTTTTGGCCTTACTACTATATTTCCACAATTTATGTACCATTTTCATTCGTATTTGGCACATACATCATACATATCAGTGTGTTTCATAATCAGATCAAAGATGGCCAAATAACGAGAGAGAGAGAGAGAGAGTTGCTAAAATAACAAGAGCAGCTCTGACTGTGTTGCTTGACGTGAATTTTACCGAAAGGATGTTGATGCACATACATCGCAAACAAAGTCACCAGCATAGTCTTGGTGATTTATGTATGTCCAGTGGGTCTCGGCTCTATGCTGAAGTTGCAGTTGGCAAGGATGGTCAGAACGTGGGTCAACTTCTTTGCATTGTAGTTAAGATGTCAGATACACATGAGCATACACAAATTTGTGCTGAAAACAATGCCTAATGATGAATGCATTTAATTTATTACAATGGTTACTGCGCAACATAGTATCATGCAAATTCTAGATGAGAACTGGGTTCAGCCACTGTGCTCATTAGTGCTGAGGGGGGTGACATCTACAAAGGTGATTTTACAGTCACCAGCCAAAAAAGGGGTACCCAGGAACCGCATGATTCAGTGTCACTCAGAAGTGCTGAGATTTCACCCCGGGAGCGGTTTCTGATTAAAAAGTAGCAATTGAGAGTTTTGCCTGTGTTACGTTTTAGCGCAGTGCACCACCTTCAACTTGGCTAAGCGTGATGTAGTTGTTAAGAGATGTATTTATTCATGGACCAGCAGCATATTTACCTTAGAACTTTGTGATTGCATGGGATGGAATTTGTTTGGCCTGTCTCTGGTTGGGCTATGGGTGTCCCAAATTTTGTTTTCCTTATGATTTTTAAGACAACTTGACATCCACCACAGATGACCCATGGGTTTATTTTTAGTTAGAAATGGCTACAAAATTACAGTCAACCCCAATTGACAACATCACCGGTGTTAAAGGCTGTGCTGAAACATCTGGTAAGGCTAAGCAAGATCTACACAGAAATGAGACGCTTGTTGGCAAAATGCACTGTCACAGTTGTGTCCAACTCCCTCTCTTCACATTACTCCAACATGTTTTTGGTGGACATAAAAGATGGGGGGCGTGCCCCAAATCAAAGACCTAACCCAACTGAATTGTAACCCCAACTACAGCGTATACCACTGTGTACATCAGGATGATTACCTGGCAATCTTAAGGATCTGCATCATGTACCAATTTTGGACACAGTTAGCATGGACCCTAAGAAGTCAACCACCCTTAGTTGATGAATGAACCTATCCAACCTAAGACAGGTCATGCAGATTGATTCATCAACTCCAGCTGTAACATTGTTCAGAGACACATCAATGTACAATGCAGTGGCTTCTGGTGTGAGGTTCTCCACACTAAGCCAGCTGGTGAAGGAGATGCTGCTCTGGTATAATGAGAAGGAAATATGGCTAAAATGCAATACTAGTATGCAAATGCCCATGCAATATCCCAGAGATGCTCATACCCAATCAATGACTGGCAAATATTCCATGGCCTGGCAAACAGTGCCTGGATAACACCCATGATCGACCCGTATGCCTCAGTCAGAAACTTCAAGCTCAAGTGTCATTTCATCTGGGCCATCATACATATGCAATACACTCAATATCAATATCGTGGATGAATCTAAGCATGTATGCATTTCAACCAAATACTGCAAATCTGCATACTGCACATTCAATGTCACCAATCTCATAGTAATAAGTGATAATGACATAAGCACATAACGTTATACCATTCTTAGTCACATAATTCATTGCCGCTTATCACATATTTTTATTTCTGTATCCCCATGCTGTTTCACATACTTTTATTTCTGTAACCCCATTGTATTTATGCTATTTTAAATCCATCACGTGTTTTCCCCGGGGATTTGACTTGTGGAAATACCTGTAACCCATGTCTGTGAAAGGTGTTTTCAAAATGACCCTAAACACGTTTTAAAAGGTCAAAATTTTGCACCCTTTTCACTGTTAGAAAGCTAAAAGATCACGCACCTTGAACTCGCGCCTGATCTCGCGATATTTGAGCTTTCTAACCCTTCAGTGTAAGCATGGGTTGGTCATATGCCGTGATCGAGGGTCGTTAACAAGGGGGCCGGACGTTTTCTACGTTTTTGCGATCATTGAATTCCTTAAAGCAATAAAAAACGATAATCTCATTTACAAAATAACCACCCTTATCACGTTGGCAGTACCGGAAAAGACACCTTTTTTGTCTATTTTGACTGAAATGGTAACCCTAAACGCGTAACGCGCGTTAACGTGCTTTTCTTTAAAAAAAACACCCTTTTAACACGTTTTCTTTCACAGACATGCGTACCAGATCATTCTTTAAGTCGGACCCCCGGAGTGTTTTCATATGTTTGTGTACACTGGCCGTTCACCGTGACTAAGACTGCGCATCTTGACTAAAGATGAAAGTTCATCTGATATCGGATTCCGGCGGACATTCTCAGTAAATATACGCATTAGAATGATCATTTCAATGTCACGTGGTATGCAAAAAAATATACAATTGACTCTTTATAATTATGAAAAATAACTAACCTCCAGCCAGCACCCTTCCTGTAATTTACTAGATACTGGCCAAAATTTGGTTATTGTCTGTAAACCCACACTATTTAATGTATGCAATAACGTTTTGAGTGTCTTTTTGCACAATTCTCCTTTGGCTATTTCATCACAATTCTGCCCATGTCTCTAATTCACACAGACAATTTCAGAGTTGTTGGAATGTGGTGCAACTTAACAGTTTGTTAAACCGCAGTGTATATCACAGAAAGTGGCAAATTAAGGTTAATAGTAGGTTTAAAATTCTCATTAGAATCCACCAAAATTAGATATTTCATGGAAATAAAAATAATATTACTTTAAGTGTGTCAGTCCTTATTATTTTTGTGATAACCTGTAGTTCAGTACCTCAGATATCAGGGTTTACGATTACGCATATATGTTGATAGCATTTGGTTAGAAAGTATTGCCATGCAGGTTGGCCGACGGATAACTCGTTCAGTGATTACGGGCATTATTTTA